ATCGAGACCCATTCTAAAATCCAATTGGGCTCATTTCAATATAAACCTCAAAATGAGCCGTTAACCTGGCTTATTTAGCCATTTTTCCAACAATTTATACCTTTAATGACAATCATAAGGAAGAGTGATCCATGACAATTACTTGATTATTTAGTGAAATGAAGAAGAAACAAGCAAACGTTTTTCTTATGTCATTAGAACTTGTTGTGGTAACTATAAAAGTATGTTTTAGTTTACTAGCTTGAGAAGTCGTGCATCATAATACTATGGGTTCTTGCAGCTTACTTCACCTACTACCTATATTTTTCTTTGCTGTCAATGCATTTCTTGGCACTCGTGGAAATTTGTCGCCAAATTACTACTCGCGAAAATGCCCTCAAGCGCTTTCTATCAGCAAGGCAGGAGTTGTTGCAGCCATAACAAACGAGACACGCGCCGGTGCTTCCTTACTCCGACTGCATTTCCACGACTGTTTCGTTAATGTGAGTGTCTTTTGACCTGCTTCTATGTGCAATTTTGACATGAAGCGCACTAATTAGGAGTACAACTAATATGACGTGCACTAATTAGGAGTACAACTAATATGACGTGCACTAATTAGGAGTACTACTATAGAGTAGGGTTTAATTAAATGGTTTTCAGGGCTGTGACGCGTTGATTCTGTTGGATTATACGGCCAACTTTGTGGGTGAGAAAACAGCAGCTCCAAACAAAAACTCCGTTGGAGGGTTCGAAGTTATCGATCACAGTAAGGCCGAGCTAGAGCAAGCTTGCCCAGGGGTTGTTTCCTGTGCTGATATTCTAGCCCTCACTGCCCGTGATTCTGTTGTTTATGTAAGCTTGATTGCTTTCCAAACCACAGATTTAACCTTGAAACACGGATTTCATAAATTCTCCATGAACATTATTAAAAATCTCATCACTTGCTTGTATAATTGCTTCTTACTGAGTGACAGGTTCGCACACCGTTGGCCTGCCTAGGTGCACGACCTATTGTGCGAGCATCTGATAAGATTATGTTAGTAATTAGTAATCAATATAATAAGTGGTTAGTCGTTTATTATGTGTGTTAAGTAGTTAGTAGTTAGTTAGGTCTTAGGATTGGTGAGTGGATTAAGAGATAGTAAGTATAAATAGAACGGAGGTAGAATAAGAGAGGATTATTCAGTTTGTGAAACTTCCGAGAGAAGATAGTCTAGAGAGAGCAAGGGATCTCTCGAATATCCTCATATCTCTTTCTGTAACCCAATTTCCGCCATTGATATAATCAAAGCTTCCTGTTAGCATTTCTCTTTCCCATTTGTCATTTTCAATTGGTTGTTTGGATTGGAGCTTATCAAATTGGTATCAGAGCACTTTCTTGGGCGAAATTCAGAGAAGATGGAGGGTACATATGGACGTTGGCAGCAATTAGAGAAGCCAATGTTTTCTAGAGAAGATCCGGATGCGTGGATAGCAAGAGTAGAAGAATAGACTGACCTGTTGAGAGGATAGCAGCAGGAGAAAGAAAAAAAGAAGTGGAGTTAGGTTATGTTCTAGTGTGTAAGCATCTCTTTCCTCGGTCGATTCATCTGCTCATTCAGCGTATGATTCTTATCCAATTGCTTCTTCCGATAAGTCTTATGAAATGAATTCGGTTGGAGATAGGCATTCGGATTCGTTACTTGGGGCTGATGAGGATGAGTTACTTCGGGCTCCTGAGGGTGAGGAATCCGTTATTTCGGGATAAATTAGATATGTTAGTTCGGTCTCGGCTTCAGGAAAAAATGACTCTTCAGCCGATTCAGATTGAGAAGGAAAGAGCAGCCCTAGGCGGAGCTTCTTAGGATGATGTCTGTGCTATAATCCATAGGATTTTTTTTTTCAGAGCGTTGTTTTTCAACGAATGAAAGAAATCGCGGATTCCATATTTCTTGAAAAATCAATTTTCAGTGCAAGAAAAAGTGATGTTCATTGGGGAGTTCATGGAAGGTAAAGCTCTTCAGTGGTTTCAATGGGAGGATAGAAGGCGGCCATTCGTTTTTTGGAGTGCTTTTAAGACGCATTTGTTTTAATGTTTCCAACCTGCAAAGGGAAACTGATCTATTGCGAAGGTTGAAGCCATGGTTCAAAAGGTGGAACAACTTCTAAAGAGGATGGAGGAGAGATTTGGAGCAGTGGGGGCGTCGACCATAGCAGCAGATTGACGTCAAGAGCTATCAGATTGCAAGATGAACGGCGATCTGGAGTCGAAATCTAGGTTTTCATATCCTAGAGTTTCCAATCTTGGGGTTTTTGGAGGTTTGACGAGGCGGATCGAAATGCCGATCTATGAATGACTGAATCCAGATGGCTGGATTTTTCGAGTTGGGCGATTTTTTGCCCTAAATCACATGGGAGAGGCGGTGGCAATGAGTTTAGATGGAGAGGCGTTGGCTTGGTTTCAGTGGACGGATGGTCATAGGTCGATTCGTAGCTGGCTGGAATTCAAGTCGCTGCTGCTCGAACGTTTCTGACCGTCGCAGGAGGGCACGAACTGTGAGAAGTTCCTCGCTCTTCAGCAGG